TTTTATTTCAGTTATTTTTTTAAATAAGTTTACTCGAGTGTTTTAATAACTCTGTCCTGGTAAACTTTACTTAATAAACTCGAGGTGTTATTGAATCTTCCCTAATATAATGAATCATTTCAATGTCTGTGCAGTTGTGATAGTGAAAGAGGAAGTCTCAGAGGAAGAGGTGGAGGACATCCTGATGGAGGAGAAGCACGCATCTGACCTGGACAATGAGAGCGAGCGAGTGTCTGGTGATGATTCGACCGAAGAGGAAGGAGCGATGAGCGACGAAGACGCTGGCAGCGATCAGCCTCCGTCAGAGGGGGCAGCAGAGAGTTCAGTGAGGAAACGCAAACCGCAGGAGCAGAACACTACTGAGGGAACATAATGCCACTGCATAACGTCACTGCAGTTGCCACCAAAAACAAGAGGAAACTGCCATATCTGCAAGACATGCAAAGCAACGCCAGCTATGCTGATTTCTGCATCATACATGCAGAACGTGGTTTGTGCATTCAGTGCATTTTACCTGCTTCTCGCTGCGGTTTAATTCAGTTTAGTTTTTAAGAGTAGTTGCTTAAATTGATTGCTGAAAGATGCCAAACATTGACAGTTTTATATTTTCTATAAATGCCAAAAATACGAATGTGCATAAATAGTCATTTTAATGCTGAAGTTACAAAAACTACATGTTTACAATGGATTAGGATGAATATCTAAAAAAAAGGCTCATATTTCACCTAAAAAAACAAAAGAGAAAAATGCAGCCCGTTAATGAATAATTAATAGTTGCTGATATTTTTTTTAACATTTTGATTAAGCACATACAGTGTCACATGATCCTTCAGAAATCATTGTAATAAAGGATCATGTGACACTGAAGACTTGAGTAATGATGCTGAAAATTCAGCTTTGCAAACCAGGAATAAATTACATTTGAACAGATATTCATATAGAAAACAGCTATTTTAAATTGTAATAATTTTTCACAATATTACTGCTTCTACTGTATCTTTAATCAAATAAATGCTGCCTTGGTGAGCAGAAGAGACCTCTTTCAAAAATATTTTAAAAATCCGAATTATTCCAAACGCTACACAGAGGTGTAATTAATTAATTTAAATATTAAAGTATTTTTTTTTCATGTTAGTATTTTTTGGTTTTAATATTTTTTTTTTTAAATAGTGTAATTTTTCTTTTTGACTTTGTCTATATCTTTGCTGCAGTATCCTGTTTTATCCTGTAATGCAGTACAAACATATTCTGTTAGAGTAATGAAAATAACTGAAAATGACAGAACTCAGAAAAAGGAACTGGTGCGTTACAATAATGAGAATTTGGGAGAAATGTGCTTAATTGTCATGAAAATGTCGCAATGCAAACCTATCAAACCTTATGATTATTTTTATTTTGGTGTGAAATATAAAAGCCATGTTCTTAATGAGATTCATGCATTACACTGTTGTTTTACCACAATTCCTTAATTAGCTGTAATGATAAACGCTTCCTCGTTTGTTCATGGTTCACATTCCCGTGCCACAACTCAATCCTGACCGTTTTCAGAAGGAAATGTTCTTAACATATGGTCAATATGAAGAGTATTTTTTTGCACTGTAGTATTCATCCACACACGATGCATATAGTGTTGAATAGCACAAACTGTCCATAATCATAGTTCCATAAACACCGCATATTATCAGACAGATGCTTTGTGTACCAGGTCTCAGGATAAGTATTTCTCAATGATATGAATGTTGTTTTGTACAGTGTAGATTTGTAATGTATTCCCTGTAATTGCAAATTGAATTCATAATTTGCACAAAACTTTGACAATATCTTTGGTATTAAAATCGGTGCAGTCTTTGACTGGCGGCTCGACGGTCTATTGCCTTTCTTTTTTATACTCTGAACAGACGGTTTAAATCTGTGTAGCAAATAAACGTTGGTCATTTTTGTAAGCTGTAACCAGCACAGAAACACACCAGCACATCTGTTCAATGTTTCTGTGTCATTTATCATATGCTGAACATCTATTGTCAATTTATTGTCATTGTATTGTGTGAGAGATTGTTATATTGTTAATATTGTGTAAGCTGTTCATACAGCACTGCTGGGTTTATGTGTTCATTAAACAGTTTGACTTGATACAAAGCATTTTGGATTGTAGTTTGTCATGTCAGCATTAAAGATGATTTTGGTTCAAAAAGAACATTACTACAGGCAAAAATATTTTTTTTATGCACTAGTCAGTTTTGAGATTTTGGGCTGTTTGGATTTTCATAGCGTGTCGTTTCAGACTAGGAAAGAAAACATCCAAAATACACTTCTAAGTGTTCATTTTATAACACTTTCTCTATCTGCATCTTTAATTATAAAACATTTTAAAGGCACATCTGGAGAAGACAAAAGCTGAAACAAATCCAGCATTAAGGCCTTTTTAAACTTCAAACCATTGCTAAAATAAAAAATAATTTTTTATAAAAAAATATAAGTCCATAATCCATAACGCTTCCTCCAGTGAAAAAAGTAATCTGGTCTGAATCAGGAGAGAAATCTGCACAGATCAAGCACCATTTATAAGCCAACACGGCTGGATTTTGATGTGAGAGACAACAGGAGATGGACTTTTCACTGTAGGAAGATTTATTATGAACTCGTATTTTAGCCGAAAGTTAAAAACGTCTTAATGATGGATTTGTTTCAGCTTTTGTCTTCTCAAGACTTTAACTGATGGACTGGAGTGCTGTGGATTATTTTGATTTTTTTTTTAAATCAGCTGTTTGGACTCTCATTCTGACGGCACCCATTCACTGCAGAGCATCCATTGCTGAGACACTGATGCAATGCTACATTTCTCCAAATCTGATGAAGAAACAAACTCTGACCTGAGGGTGAGCTATTTTCAGCAAATTTAAATTTGTGGGTGAACTATTCCTTAATTCCTTCAAGTCTAAAGCTATACACTTGAGTCAGAGCAATTTGGTAACACTTTATAATTACGTTCTATTTGTTAACATTAGCTAGTTGACATGAACTAACAATGAAAAATACTTCAAAAGAATTTATTAATCTTCTATTTTCTAATGTAAAGTCTTACTCTTACGTCCTTTTGGCTCATTTTATGCGTTCGTTCACCAAATGGAGTTTTATTTTATGAAGAAACCTTTCAAGTCTGAATTTGATCTTGTCATTTGTATTAAATATATCTCTATTTTGTCCATTTAACAGCAAATCCACACGTACCTGATGAATACTCTCGGTATCCCTTCTTGGGGCTCTTATGTGATTTTTGCCATCATTACGCTCTTTATGGGACTGATGCTCGGCCTGGTGAGTTTAAAAACATCATTTTCACAGTTTAGATGGGTTAATGTATTATTCATGCTTCAAGCCTAAAGTGAAATGCTTTACTCTTTGCATGAAAGTACCTCATGCATAAATATTCCTGCGGACGGAGCATCGTTGCTACAAATCTAAAAAGACCATTTACCAAAGGGAACCAACCAAGTGCACTTGACTTCATCTGATGCGAGAGCTCTATGAAGCAGATCGCACATACTGTACAGATACATGATGACTTGCACCAGAAGGAATTATATAATACATGTTGAAAAAGAAGTTCCTACATTATACAACGGTGAGTTGTGTAACACTGCTCGATTCTGCGGCTCTTTTGAGGATACAGTGGGTGGTTCTCGCATGTAGTGGATCAAACGTTCAGAAGTGAACTTCAGCTGCTGGGTTCAGTCTAATGATAAATCTCTCTCTATTAGATGCTGGTTTTGATCGCTGACTGCATTTGGCCGTCCAGACCAAAGCACAGAGAAAACAAAACAGGTGAGATTAGAAACACGCGTATTATTTACTCTGCACTAATTATGCGTTTAAGTTGTTTATGGTTTTTAATATCACATTGTAGCATAATGCTGTTTGAAATGTTTATTATTGCATATCGCACACTATTTTTACAATAAGTTCCCATTAGTTAGTGTATTTATTGACATTAACTTGTGCGTGTAAACATACTTGGTAATAAAGCTCTTCTGATTCTGATTCTGATATAGCATTTGCCTAATTCTATTATTGATTGCACTTCATCTATTTGCGTCTGTAGATTTCAATAATGCATATTTTAAAAGGGCTGTTTTCTCAAAATGAGTTTTTTTCTCTACTTCAGCAGCACTTACACACACCAAAACTTAGTTTTATTCCTATATATATTCTAAAGGTTTTTACTGAAGGGTTTGTTCATATATCATTCGCCTGAATTTTATTCCTAAAAACGTATTTTTTCCTGGTTGTTGACAGTATTTTGTGATTTATGGAGTGATAGAAAAAGAAATCCAAAATGCCTTCTGTAAAAACCTTTAACTCTAATATGTCAACAAAATGAAATAATTTTGAACCTGGCTTAATCCAATATTCATATTTATGTTCTGGAAAATAACAGGGAGCGATACTTTTGTTTTAGTATTTATTCATCTTTGTTAACTTTAGTTAATAAAAATACAACTGTTCATTGTTAGTTCATGTCAGCTCAGATCCATTAATGTTCACTTTTCATTTTAATAAAGTATAAATGTTGCAATTAACATGAGCTAAGTTTAATAAATACTTTAGAAATAGTTTTCATTGTTAGTTGGTGTTAACTAATGTAGTTAACAAATGGAATCTAATTGTAGAGCGTTACCATTTATTAATATTAAATAGTACACTATGAATTTCTGACTATTTTTGCCATTTTCCAGGATAAATATATAAAAATCAAGATCATTTTAGTTAAGAGGTAAAATGACAAGATATGAAGTCTTGTTTTCTGAAAATTGTATCAAAATGTAATGAGTTTAAGTTTAAAACGGGAACAAAATATCTGTCTATGGGGTAAAAAAAATAAACTTAAAGCGAAACAAGTTTTTTTTTCAGACCCCATTCCCATTGACATATGTTTTCATGTTTTAGGCTTGCTTACTTGATACATTTTCAAAAAACACGACTTGGTCATTTTGATTGTCAAGTTAATGTATCTTGATTTAAGAATGTTTAGATATTTGGACTGGAAAACAAGACAAAAATATTAAGTTAGAAAATCATTTTTCACAGATACATCAGTCAAACACATTGTTTTTATTATAAAAAAAAAACACACATGCACAGATTGGTGACACAAACCAGTACTGAATCAGAGTTTTGAATCGATTCACTTAAATTAACACTTTAAATGGGAACTGATTCACAGAAATTAATTTAAATATTGTTGCTTATTTTAAAACGCAAGTGAAATCATTCCAAATATATTGTGAATATTTAATGTCCAGTTTCAGTGTTATTTTCGCATAATTGAGATACTATAATAATTGTATTAATATTTTGAATTAGTTTATATTTTCCATTTTCATTTGTTTTTGTCATTTTTATGTCTACATAGTTTTTATAAATTTTTATTTCAGTTTTAATTGTAGCTATTTTAGTACATCAAGTTAATTAAGTGAAAATGAGAAGCGTTTCATTGGCAACTAGCTGAAATAAGTTAAAAAAAAAAATTTTATTTCAGTTATTTTTTTAAATAAGTTTACTCGAGTGTTTTAATAACTCTGTCCTGGTAAACTTTACTTAATAAACTCGAGGTGTTATTGAATCTTCCCTAATATAATGAATCATTTCAATGTCTGTGCAGTTGTGATAGTGAAAGAGGAAGTCTCAGAGGAAGAGGTGGAGGACATCCTGATGGAGGAGAAGCACGCATCTGACCTGGACAATGAGAGCGAGCGAGTGTCTGGTGATGATTCGACCGAAGAGGAAGGAGCGATGAGCGACGAAGACGCTGGCAGCGATCAGCCTCCGTCAGAGGGGGCAGCAGAGAGTTCAGTGAGGAAACGCAAACCGCAGGAGCAGAACACTACTGAGGGAACATAATGCCACTGCATAACGTCACTGCAGTTGCCACCAAAAACAAGAGGAAACTGCCATATCTGCAAGACATGCAAAGCAACGCCAGCTATGCTGATTTCTGCATCATACATGCAGAACGTGGTTTGTGCATTCAGTGCATTTTACCTGCTTCTCGCTGCGGTTTAATTCAGTTTAGTTTTTAAGAGTAGTTGCTTAAATTGATTGCTGAAAGATGCCAAACATTGACAGTTTTATATTTTCTATAAATGCCAAAAATACGAATGTGCATAAATAGTCATTTTAATGCTGAAGTTACAAAAACTACATGTTTACAATGGATTAGGATGAATATCTAAAAAAAAGGCTCATATTTCACCTAAAAAAACAAAAGAGAAAAATGCAGCCCGTTAATGAATAATTAATAGTTGCTGATATTTTTTTTAACATTTTGATTAAGCACATACAGTGTCACATGATCCTTCAGAAATCATTGTAATAAAGGATCATGTGACACTGAAGACTGGAGTAATGATGCTGAAAATTCAGCTTTGCAAACCAGGAATAAATTACATTTGAACAGATATTCATATAGAAAACAGCTATTTTAAATTGTAATAATTTTTCACAATATTACTGCTTCTACTGTATCTTTAATCAAATAAATGCTGCCTTGGTGAGCAGAAGAGACCTCTTTCAAAAATATTTTAAAAATCCGAATTATTCCAAACGCTACACAGAGGTGTAATTAATTAATTTAAATATTAAAGTATTTATGTATCATGTTAGTATTTGTTGGTTTTAATATTTCTGAAGACTGGAGTATTGATGCTGAAAATTCAGCTTTGATCACAGAAATAAATTACAGTTTAATATATATTCAAATAGAAATCAGTTACTTTAAATAGTAATAATATTTCATATTTTTAACAATATTTATCAAATAAATGCTGCCTTGGTGAGCAGAAGAGACCTCTTTCAAAAATATTTAAAAAATCCGAATTATTCCAAACGCTACACAGAGGTGTAATTAATTAATTTAATATTAAAGTATTTATGCATCATGTTAGTATTTGTTGGTTTTAATATTTTTTTTAAATAGTGTAATTTTTCTTTTTGACTTTGTCTATATCTTTGCTGCAGTATCCTGTTTTATCCTGTAATGCAGTACAAACATATTCTGTTAGAGTAATGAAAATAACTGAAAATGACAGAACTCAGAAAAAGGAACTGGTGCGTTACAATAATGAGAATTTGGGAGAAATGTGCTTAATTGTCATGAAAATGTCGCAATGCAAACCTATCAAACCTTATGATTATTTTTATTTTGGTGTGAAATATAAAAGCCATGTTCTTAATGAGATTCATGCATTACACTGTTGTTTTACCACAATTCCTTAATTAGCTGTAATGATAAACGCTTCCTCGTTTGTTCATGGTTCACATTCCCGTGCCACAACTCAATCCTGACCGTTTTCAGAAGGAAATGTTCTTAACATATGGTCAATATGAAGAGTATTTTTTTGCACTGTAGTATTCATCCACACACGATGCATATAGTGTTGAATAGCACAAACTGTCCATAATCATAGTTCCATAAACACCGCATATTATCAGACAGATGCTTTGTGTACCAGGTCTCAGGATAAGTATTTCTCAATGATATGAATGTTGTTTTGTACAGTGTAGATTTGTAATGTATTCCCTGTAATTGCAAATTGAATTCATAATTTGCACAAAACTTTGACAATATCTTTGGTATTAAAATCGGTGCAGTCTTTGACTGGCGGCTCGACGGTCTATTGCCTTTCTTTTTTATACTCTGAACAGACGGTTTAAATCTGTGTAGCAAATAAACGCTGGTCATTTTTGTAAGCTGTAACCAGCACAGAAACACACCAGCACATCTGTTCAATGTTTCTGTGTCATTTATCATATGCTGAACATCTATTGTCAATTTATTGTCATTGTATTGTGTGAGAGATTGTTATATTGTTAATATTGTGTAAGCTGTTCATACTATATATAATTCAAACTATATAGACATCTAAAAAAGCTAATAAAAAATGACAAAAACACAATAAAATTACTAAAACTTTAAAATTAATGTGAAAAATTCAAAATATTACAAAAAACTATAATAATATCTCAATGATACTAAATAACACCATACATTATTACACTTATTCTGTGTAAGTGAATGAATGAATAGACATGAAATATTATTGTGTAAAAAATCTCAAAACCTTTAGATCTGCTTAAATGCTTGATTCAAATTAGGTTTTTATAGACAAATACAAATATAAGATGTACGACCAACATTGTATTTTAAATGTATGTTGTAAGAGTGGAAGAAGAAAAAAACAAACAAAAGCAAAACAACAACAACAACATCAAACCTGTTCCTCCTTCAACAGTGTTTAAATGCAAAGCATGAAGTTGGTTGATGAACATCCAGAATTAGCAGAGCTGGAATATGAGAGCCGTTTCAGTTGTGTCTCATGTTTTCATGACTTGGTATTCATAGGAATTGGTTAACTGGGACAAGATTCATTTTAATAAAGGTTTTGAAGGAATGAGCATTTGAAAGTTTGTTAACTGATGTTCTGGTCTGTGTGGTGTGACGTGAAGTCGAGGTGTGTGAGCAGCTGTTGTGAAGCACTGCAAAGCTGTTACGTAAAGCTGCAGAGGAGGCTGAGAGGAGACGCACATCTCAACATCCTACACATGCTGAAGTTTGTGCTGGAGGAGAAAATACTGCCACGGTTTACACTCACAGAAGGGAGAATCTCACGAAACCTGTCTGGTTTCAAGTATGAAAACAAGTATGTCTGCAACATATTCCACTCCAAGAAATTTGATTTTGTCAACTGAATGAAGCCTAATTTCGGACCTTCAAGACACTGGTATATTATCTGATGACAATTACACCAAAAAAAAGTATTAAAAAACTTAAAAAAATTAAGCTTAATTATTTAGGACCTTTAAGACATTATATTACATTATTTGATGACAATTAAGCAAAACGTAAAAACGACTAAAAACTTACAAAATTACGTTAAATTATTTAAATTAATAGAACTAAAGAAATGAATACAATAAAATATCTATATATAAAATAATATAAGTGCAGGGTTTGACTGGTTAGCAAGGGTCAGTTAGTCTCTATTATTAAATAACATGAGTACACCATTCATGATTCAGCTGCCAAGAATCATTTACTTGGACAAGCATTCACAAGCAGCCATGCATTTTGAATAATAAATTTTTTTTTTTTTTTTGCGGTGTTCTTTAAAAAAACTCAAATGGACTTACATGTTAGATGGTCAGGATGGTCACCTTCAGAAATCTGGCAAATTTCATCTCACATGTGTTCAACTGAGCCACTGAGCTGAATGCAAACAGATAGTGTAAACATTCAAATCTTTTTGAAACTGAATTAACTGCAGAAACTAGGGCTGATATGCAGTTAGTGTTGTGTAGTTTTTCTCAAGCCTGGTCCTGAAGCTCCCAGCATGCACAGTGTCCACGTCTCCCTAATCAAACACACCTGATTCAACTCATCAGGATTATTAGAAAATCCAAGACCTGAAATAAGCATCAGATAATGGAAACATTGTTGTGCATACTTCCATGTCTCCAACACAGTGCAATGTTGCAGGATTCTTCATGCATGAACTCCAAACAAATAAACTCCATCTATAAGCTAGTTAAAACTAAAATTACAACCATACAAAAATCTGTTACTTAAATTAAATAAAATATTTATAAAAGGTATTATTAAACTGATTTGTTAGTTAGTAATTTTTAGTAATTGTTAGCACTTTTTCATTTTATTTAGATTAACTTGGTGAACTAAAACAACTATATATATATATACAGTATATATATATATATATA